ACAGGTTAGGGAGGCGGGTCAAGCTGGGCTGGTTTTGGGATGTGGTAGGGGGAGGGGAGCTTTTGAAGCTTGTGAAATCCACATTGATACCATTGGGCTGCAGGGTTACCAAGCGGAATATGAGTTGCTGTTCCTGCAACCTTCGGGTGGCATCATTGTGGCACTGCAGGAGGCCCAGGATGGACATGTCGTCTGAGGAATGGGAGGGGGAGTTGAAATGCTTCGCGACTGGGAGGTGCAGTTGTTTATTACGAACTGAGCGTAGGTGTTCTGCAAAGCGGTCCCCAAGCCTCCGCTTGGTTTCCCCGATGTCGGAGGCCTCAACGGGTACAGCGGATGCAGTATACCGCATTAGCAGATGTGCAGGTGAACATCTGCTTGATGTGGAAAGTCTTCTTGGTGCCTGGGATGGGGTGAGGGAGGAGGTGTGGGGGCAGGTGTAGCACTTTCTGCGGTTGCAGGGAAAAGTGCCGGGTGTGGTGGGGCTGGAGGGGAGTGCGGAGCGGACAAGGGAGTCACAGAGCGAGTGGTCCCTCTGGAAAGCAGATAAGGGTGGGGAGGGAAAAATGTCTTTGGTGGTGGGGTCGGATTGCAGATGGCGGAAGTGTCGGAGGATGATGCGTTGGATTCCAATGGTATCAATGTGGATTTCACAAGCTTCAAAATCTCCCCTCTCCCTACCGCATCCCAAAACCAGCCCAGCTCGTCCCCGCCTCCCTAAACTGTTCTTCCTCCCACCTATCCCCTCCTCCCACCTCAAGTCGCACCTCCATCTCCTACCGACCAACCTCATCCCGCCCCCTTGACCTGTCCGTCCTCCCTGGACTGACCTATCTCCTCCCTACCTCCCCACCTACACTCACCTTTACTGGCTCCATCCCCGCCTCTTTGACCTGTCTGTCTCCTCTCCGCCTATCTTCTCCTCTATCCATCTTCTATCCGCCTCCCACTCTCTCCCTATTTATTTCAGAACCCCCTTCCCCTCCCCCATTTCTGAAGAAACATCAGCCTTCCTGCTCCTCTGATGCTGCTTGGCCTGCTGTGTTCATCCAGCTCTACACATTGTTATCTCAGATTCTCCAGCATCTGCAGTTCCTACTATCTCCATACCTTGTTATCTCAGCATCTGGTAAACCTCCTCTGCAATCCTCTCCAAAGCCTCCACATCCTCCCTGTAATGTGGTGACCAGAACTGAATGCAGTACTCTAGGTGTGGCCTAATGTTACTGCACACCTCTGGAGCCTGAACGTGGGCCTCCTGGCTGTGAGGTAGGGGCACGACCACCGTGCTCTTTCAGATCATTCATGCAGGAAGCGTTCGCGAAACTGAGCAACTGAGAGAGCTGTAGCAATACGTTGTTGCCACCCGGTGGTTCTGCTTTAGGTCACACTCAGGAAGGGAATGAAATGCCACATTTGTGTTGCATCGGGAAAGAGTTGCTGGGGAAGAGAAGGGGGTGGAATGTGTCCTCACCCGCGTTGTTTATGAGCAGGAGTCTGTCGGGATCTGGTGCCCGGCTGCAGTCCGCCGCATTCAGGACCCGCTGTAAACCCTCTTCCCCGCTCAGGTCTGCTTCAACACGGCTGAGCCGGAGCTGGCCCGCTCTGCCCGGGCTACCCTCCAGCAGCCGAGCCTCCAGCTGCCGCAAGCTCTCCCCGGACCTGGCCACCAGCACCAGGTGGGAGCCCGGTTTCAGCCTGGGGGCCAGTGCCACGGCCAGCGACCAGCCCAGACCCCGGGACGCTCCCGTGATGAGACACAGGGTCCTGCCCAGGTCACCCGAGACGAACCCAGCGCCTCTCCGCTCCATGTTCATCATCCCGCACTGACTTCCTCTTACATCAGGTCCCAGACCTGCCCACAAACTATACACACGCCCTCCTGCATTACATGTGACCAGGAGCTGTCTGTACTTTGGACACTGGCCAGCTAACCACCCTTTGTCAAATAGACGGTGTTCAGCAAGCTCTGCATCATTAATATTAACCAGCTTTATCACACAGACACTGCTGTTTGGAGATAGTAGGAACTGCAGATGCTGGAGAATCAGAGATAACAAGGTGGAGAACTGGATGAACACAGCAGGCCAAGCAGCATCAGAGGAGCAGGAAGGCTGACGTTTCAGGGAAGAAGGGTCCTCTGACAGTGCAGCACTCACTCAGTACTGACCCTCTGACAGTGCAGCACTCCCTCAGGACTGACCCTCCGACAGTGCGGCACTCCCTCAGTACTGACCCTCTGACAGTGCAGCACTCCCTCAGCACTGACCCTCCGACAGTGCAGCACTCCCTCAGTACTGACCCTCCGACAGTGCAGCACTCCCTCAGCACTGACACACCGACAGTGCAGCACTCCCTCAGTACTGACCCTCCGACAGTGCAGCACTCCCTCAGTACTGACACACTGACAGTGCGGCGCTCCCTCTGTACTGACCCTCCGACAGTGCAGCACTCCCTCAGTACTGACACCCTGACAGTGTGGCGCTCCCTCAGTACTGAACTTCTGACAGTGCAGCACTCCCTCAGCACTGATCCTCTGCCAGTGTGGCACTCGCTCAGTACTGACCCTTGGAGAGTGCAGAACTCTCTCAATACTGACCCTCTGACAGTGCAGCACTCCCTCAGTACTGACCCTCTGACAGTGCAGCACTCCCTCAGCACTGATCCTCTGCCAGTGCAGCACTCGCTCAGTAATGACCCTCTGACGGTGCAGCACTCCCTCAGTACTGACCCTCTGACAGTGCGGCACTCCCTCAGTACTGACCCTCTGACAGTGCGGCATTCCCTTAGCACTGACCCTCAGACAGTGCTGCACTGCCTCAGTACTGACCCTCAAACAGTGCACCTCTCCCTTAGCACTGACCCTCTGACAGTGCAGCACTCCCTCAGCACTGACCCTCTGACAGTACGGCACTCCCTCAGTACTGACCCTCGGACTGTGCAGAACTCCCTCAATACTGACCCTCTGACAGTGCAGCACTCCCTCAGCACTGATCCTCTGCCAGTGCAGCACTCGCTCAGTAATGACCCTCTGACAGTGCAGCACTCCCTCAGCACTGACTCTGTGACAGTGCGGCATTCCCTCAGTACTGACCCTTTGACAGTGCAGCA